GAAAAAAAGTTAATGGCACGAGCGGGATTTAAACCCACGATCTTCGGCTAGATACGCCGCTGCTCTACCACTTGAGCTATCGTGACCTCGATCCACTCGGACATCCACTTCATATCTATCCCATCCAACCATCCCACCTTATGAGTTTTCACTCCTTTTTGCCATTTTTCAAATGGGAAAACTCATAAGGTGGGGTTGAGATAGGAAGTTGATGTCCGAGTGGATCGAGGTCACGATAGCTCAAGTGGTAGAGCAGCGACGTATCTAGCCGAAGATCGTGGGTTCGAATCCCGCTCGTGCCAATAACTTTTTTTCATCTCAACTAAAAACCTTAATTAATTGTAATGTAATAATTATTTACACAATTCCATTAATACTCCTAATGAAATTATACAATTCACGGTACACAGCTAATTCGATTGACGAAATTAGAGGTTTGTACCCATAAGGTGGTTGAAGGTTTATTTCTTTGGCATTTGAGAGTCTGTCGAACTTCTGTTTGTTGAATGTTTCTTGCAGTGCATGATGATGTATGTGTTCGTGATCCTCATATGTTCCGCAGTCCTTAGAATTCGGTGACGGGATTAAATATGTTGAGATATCCCTTGCACAGTCCGTGATTGGATTTTAACCTTACTATTGTTTTGCAAAATTCCTTGGTTATATTAATTTCTTTGGGGTACCAAGGTTTCTCATGCTACCAGAAACATATTTTTGTATCTAATCCCTTTGTTATTTGACAGGTATTCAATTTGCCAATCTATCTACAGATGTAATCTTAATATAGCATGAAGATATTTCCTAGGTACTGGCGCTTTTAGAAAATTACCCGTTGCGGTGGCATCTTTGGAAAATCTACATCATTATGTTTGCGCCCTGTATGGCCTTTGATCCAGGTGATTACTATTGTATGCCCTTTAGACCTGATCATTGCTGCAAGTTCAATTTCTATAATGATGTAGTCCGCGATATACAACTTTTTGTAATTGCAAAGTTTTCGCACACAACTAAGGCAGTCTGTACATATGATCACTTTTGCGAATTGCTGGTTGTTTGCATACTTCATAGCTTCCCTCATAGCAACCAATTCTGCAGTGTATATAGATAAATACTGTGGGAGTGAAAACTTTTTACTGTAGTTCTGTACAGGATCATAAAATTAACAACCTACTAGTCCATTTAGGAGTGAACCTTCGGCGTAAATAAGATGTCCGTCTGGAAATCTCGCAAAAAGATCACTTAAATATTTTTGGGTGACTTGGGTGTTATTCAGTGTAAGTATATAACATTGTCGAATACTTTCAAAGTTTATGGTAAAATAAGCAGCATTTTAGAAGATTTTTAAATAGCACCTTTTGAAAACCAATAAAGCCTTCACCTGCCTCTTCGTAGTTTTTTTACGTGATTTCGTTTTTGATTAAATGAAAAATTTCCTTCTTTATAGGAAAAGTCAAAATATAAAGATTTTGTTTGACGTAATCGACTGGAAATGATAAAGACAATAGCTTCCCATTTCATCTGCTCCTATGTACATTTTCACTCTAGTTTAATAAAAATAAATTTCATCACTTTCCTGCAATGTAGTTTCAGAAGTCGCCATATGTGTTCATAAACGCGTTGCGGAAAATTTAGTGGTCTATTGACCAAATTACTTCTTTCAGTTGCTTAACCTTTTTATGCAAGGTTTTGGTCGAAATGAAAAAGCTAGTGTAACGAGCGGGATTCGAACCCACGACCTTCGGCTAAATACGCCGCTGCTTTACCACTTGAGCTATCTTGATTCGATCCACTCCTTTAAGCCTGATTACACAACATTTGAAAAATGGCAAAAGGAGGGAAAATTCGAAAGGTTGTAGGTTAAGATGGGGAGTGGATCGAAATCAGGATAGCTCAAGTGGTAGACAAACGGTGTATTTAGCCGAAGGTCGTGGGTTCGAATCCCGCTCGTGACGCTAACTTTTTTATCTCAACCAAAATCTTAAGTAAAGATTAATTAATTGCAAAGAATCTATTTGGTCCATCGTCGAAGATCGTGTGTTCGAAAACCGCTTGTGACACTAGCTTTTTCATTTCGATCGAAACCTTATATAAAAAGATTAACTGCAAATATATTTTAAACAATCAAAATAAACTTGTCATCCATCTGGACTTCATCGATAAATTCCATTGTAGAATTGAAGAAAATTAACGATCTGTCTGGGGTAATATTCTGTCGTCAGCGAGGAAGACATATTACATCCGAGATAAGGATTGGGCTAACCGTAGAAGCAATTTCCCGAACAGGTACATTGTAATTCAGAATAGATTCGAACCAATTAGCCAACCTAAATCTATTGTTCAATCGGATGTGTTCTAGGATTAATGACGAAATTGTTTAAAAGAAATACGTTAAAGAAAAAAAAAGATGGACGAGAACTTATTAATCTAAAGCCTAAAACTAAGAAAGGTTTAATTTTTCTACAACTAAACCATTTACTGGTTTTAGGCAGAGGCAAATCTAATTTTAGACCACATGTCTGGCAGCCGAGATAACGTCTGTGTCGATATCCTGTTGTACCGGGATGGAGCTATGTTCACCAAATCCAACATTTGTCAACTGAATTCGCGACATTGTTTAACAGTCGAGACCTTAATTCCAGTTTCCGCCAATAAAATTTAACCACATTAGTTAGAACAACAATCCCTTTCCTGTTTCTGTTTATAGTTCACTTTTTATAAAGAAATATAACAGAAAATTTATTTTTAAGTATATTTCTTAAATACAATCCAAGAAAATAAACAGACACTTGTATTTTGTTGTTTATTTCAAACTATGTTTTTTTTATCATTTTAACATTAAACAACATACTTATTTTAATTAATTAAGGTTTTTAGTTGAGATAAAAAGGTCAGTGTCAGGAGCGGGATTCGAACCCACGACCTTCGGCTAGATACGCCGCCACTTGAGCTATCGCGTCCTCGATCCACTCGGACGCTAACTTCCCATCTCAACCCCACCTTTTTGACTTTTTCCTCACTTTTGCCATTTTTCAAGTGGATTTCGAGTAGATCGAAGACACGATAGCTCAAGTGGTAGAGTAGCGACGTATCTAAGGCCGTGGGTTCGAATCCCGCTCATGGCACTGACTTTTTTATCTCAACTAATAACCTTAATTAATTGAAAGATATTAACTGGTCAAGCGGACCACGAATCTAGTGAACTTGTTTTAATGTAAACTAAATTAACCAATATGAGAAATTCATGAGAGTTAATAAATAAATGTTTAATTATGACGGTTTGAAAATTCACCAATACAAAAGGAAAATCATTTAATGATGGCTTAAAAATTAACTAAGAATTTGTTACCAGGTTTTGCACTTAATAACGTTTATTACCTTTTATAGCCTCGCGGAGAGCCTTAAGCCTCCTAGGTATCGAGTAAATAAGAGATCGGATTTCGTCTTGTTAAACATAAAGCCTTTCAACAAGAGTAGTTTGAAGTTTCAACGTTTGTTGTAGGTGGAACTATATTGTCTTTTTATCATTCCCATAACTGTTCTACAGGTTCATGTCTGGAGAACGTGTTGGCCAAATCATTGTGGTAATCCTCCAATCGAGCTTCATGCGGTCGAGCATTAACACGAAGTTGTCCCTAATAAATGGTGCGATGGGACCAAAGCTTCCAGAAGGACTTCCTCGATGTATCACTGTGATAAAAGATCCATTCTACATGATAATCACACCGGTACGGGCAAGGACGTTGATTCCACTCCATACCTGACTGTCTTAGAAAAGGCTGTGAAACGTTTGGCATGTTCTCCACGTTACACCCGTCATCTGATTGCCAGAAACCAAATGGCCTCACATCGAGGTATAGGACTGTAGGTATAGGTAGACGGATGGTAGAGCTCGACTCACCCTGTCCTGGGCTATATAACGGATGCTACGTCCGTTGTGGGCCAAAGCATCTGCCATGGCGAGATCTTCTCGACTTAAAACAACGTTTTAATTATAAAAAAATGTTTTACTCAAATTTATTGTTTCATCAAAGAAAACCATTTAAAATTGGAAGTTGGTGGCCGAGTGGATTGAAGCCACGATAGCTCAAGTGGTAGAACAGCGGCGTATTTAGCCGAAGGTCGGGGTTCGAATCCCGCTTGTGACTCTGACTTTTTTATCTCAACCAAAACCTTAATTAATTGAAAAAGAATTTATTTAGCCCAGCGAACCACGAAACCTAATAAAACAGTCATTAATGTTGTGTTTACGTTTTAAGTCAACAATTAATTTTTATACCTAGTTATTATGGAAAATAAACAAATAGATACAAGTGTCCGTTGGTTCACTTGGTGTGTGTAAATTTGTCGAAATTATTAGCTGATATAATTTCTGTTTGCTGTGATTGGTTTGATTCAAAATATTAGGCAGATTAGACAAAAGATTTATGATTTCTAAGTCTTCGTACTAAGAATTCTTCGTGTGAAATATATTTGATTTATCCATTTAGGACCGACTGGCTTTTTAATATTTATCTCTTTTGTTACCCGTCGTTTATATTTCAGCTTTGAGTGATATTTAGATGGAAGATAAGTACAGGACGATAAGTTTTTAAGTTACTATGTTTAGTTATAAAGAGGACCAATTTTTTATACACAGCAAGACACATTTTTGCTGTTTTTATATCTAGGGAAAACTTGTCAACAAATGATTCCACTTGTTCGTTATGACCTACAAAGTAAGCACGTGGACTAATTGGCATCTAATTTCAGAACTCGCTTATCCACGTGCTCGTTGCTCTATTCTGGGTGATTGAAGATAAGAGAATTAAGTGAGATGGTTGTCGAAAGAAACTTTTGATTTCAAATGACTTGGTAAATTAATTTTATAATGGAGATGTGTTCGTTATTAAAGCACCAACGTCTTAAAAAAGTGATGTTTCAGCTGAAGTTAAAAATAATAGTTAATTGTGCGACATTGGTATCTAAATGGGCCATTTAATAGAAGAGGCCGTCAGACTTACCTTGAGTCTGGGACGTCTCCTCGATAACAGAAGGCTTCCTTCTCTCTTCTCCATTGTGCTCCTCCTGCGAAAAACCACACATTAATTACATCTCGTCCCGGTGTCATATTTGCGGGGTCGTAATGGACCCTAATGGATACGACGGTCAACAAAAACGGACCCCTTAGGGGGAAATTCTAAAGAGAAAGAGCCCTTTTAGCGAACAATTATGCGTCGGGACGAAAAGCAGTCAGCATTTTTCAAGATGATTTCGATGAGACTTTCCAGCTCCGGTCACGAAAGAAGCGAGACTCGTCTTCTGAATACATTTCAAGTGATTTGACTCATCGTCCCCCAGGGCCATTAAAACCTGGGATAAGTTTAATTCACATATCATATAATGCGTAATAGAAAGTATCAGAAGGCGTCATATAATAATTAACAGACGTTACACATTATAAAGCAGTAGCCATTGATGTAGCTTCTCACAGCATGTAGTATGAAAAATGGTTCAGGAAAAACAGAGCAAACAACCAATATGTATTTCAGAAAATTTAATCCCCCAAGTGATAGTTTAGAAACTATTATCTACCCTGCGCTAAATTACCGATAATTTATGAAATCCATGCGTTAATTTTGTGCAATTATATAATAAGGTGTGTTGTTCATCAAAAATGAATATTTTAAATATATAACAAAAATGGTATTATTCTTCATGATAAAGTCTTTTGTGTTTTACTGACACTAGGCTAACATTTTGCCATTCACTCGAACCTATGTTATCAAAAGCTGAACTTTTCTATTGTAATATGAGCGCCATGGATTGAATCATGTTGATTTGATGGAGGTTTGGACTATATGGTGGGTGAGGCAAAAGTTCGATCGTACAACATCGACCGTTCGGCTGCAACAGAACACTGAGGTTAACCAAAGTCGGACAATGGTATTACCGCTCATTACAAATTCTATTTAGAGTTTAGAACATCATATGGAACACAATCGTGATGAACAATTTTCAATTGAACAATAGTCCCAAATAATTATATTGAGGATTTGATAATTTTTACACTGCCTTAGCACAGGAGATGTATCTGAAGATCGAACTGACTTTAAACTTAGATAAATTCGCTGCAGTTTTCCAGTCTGAAATTATTGCAATTGAATAGTGCGCCAGTGAAATAGGAACACATTTCAGGTCGTAAAGTCGTACGTAAGGTTTTAATCTCGTGTGAAGTTAAGGAAAAAGTCATAAGGCATTGTGTGGAATCACCTGGCAAAAGTCAGTGACATCAATGACCTGACCCTGGCATGGATCTATGGGTATTCGGGACATGGAGGAAATGAGAAGGTGGATATATTGACCAAGATCGGAGCCAGTATGAACTCTCTAGTACCAAGCCCTATTTTGGCCTAGCACCTTGCTACAAAAAATTATACATCCAAAAATGAATCTTTAACGAGTGCAAAACCTAGTTGAACAATCCCAGGTATGAGGCACACAAAGAGATTCATAGAAGACTAGGAAAGGACTACAGAAAAAGACACACAGCCAGGAAGAATAGAAGACTGCAGAACGCGTTTTATTTTTGTGTAAAGGTTTATGTTGATGTATTTTCCTGCAACTAGAAGAGGAAAAGCCGCAAGCAAGATCCTAAACTTAGAATCCGCTGGCAACGTTGTGCGGATTGGTTAACAAAGGAAGCTAGCTATAATATTTATTATTACAATTATTACTATAATATTTATAAAATTAGAGGAGCACAATAGATCTCACTCAGGTCCAGATGGTTTAGTGGCCACCTCTTGTATCCCTATCCGTACACTGCCTTCTCGCCTTCGCAGGAAATGCAAAATAGTTTGATCCGTGGGCATCTCACAAGGCAATCTTTTGGTTAAAAAAACGTGGGAGTGAATATTTTTGCAATTTGATTAAATGGGTGATGTTGTTGTGAGATCAGTCTATTGCTTTGTTTCTTCTCCATGTCGGACTAACTGTGTTTTTTTTATCACTTTACACTTCCCTGGAAAATGTGAATGCGTATCCCTGGACTTCATTCTACGATTCAGGGGAAAAGTATTTTACATTGATTGTGAAAAGCCATTATTAAATTACTACAATTAATTAAGGTTTTTAGTTGAGATAAAAAAGTCAATGGCACGAGCGGGATTCGAACCCACAATCTTCGGCTTGATACGCCACTGCTCTACCACCTGAGCTATCGTGACCTCGATCCACTCAAATGTCGTGTAATCGGGTTGGATTCTCGACGACAAATGAAATGGCCATTGAGAGCTTTAGTGAAGTATACTTCATTTTTAATCATTAAATTCACTAATTTCGTGGTCCGCTTGACCAATTAATATAACAACATGAAAAATGGCAGAAAGAAGGGAAAGTTCAAAAGGTGGGGTTGAGTTGGGAAGTTGGTGTCCGAGCGGTGTCCATATTAATTGGTCAAGGTGATAGAGCAGCGGCGTATCAAGCCGAAGATCGTGGGTTCGAATCCCGCTCGTGCCATTGACTTTTTTATCTCAACTAAAAACCTTAATTAATTGTAGTATATTAATTGGTCAAGCGGACAACGAAATTAGGGAATTATTAAATTAGTTGAGACGATTATTAAATTGAATGAACCGATTATTAAATTGGTTGAGACGATTATTAATTTTTTTGAAAAGATTATTAATTTGACTGAAAAATGCTTTATGAATAAATAATTTTACATTTTTTAAATTTAAATAAAGGTTTTTCGCGACTACTAGCTCGTATTTATTTTCTCCCCTGACTATAAAACCCGAAAGGGACGATTATTATACTAATTGAGGTGATTATTAAAATGAATGAGACAATTATTAAAATGGTGGAAAAAAATATTAATTTGATTGAAAAATGCGATCGGAATAAATAATTTTCCATTTTTAAAATTTAAATAAATGTTTTTCGCAACTCCTAGCTTGTATTTATTTTCTCCCCTGACTATAAAATCCGAATGGGGCGATGATTATATTAATTGAGGCGATTATTAAATTGAATGAGACGATTATTAAAATGGTTGAAAAAATGATTAATTTGACTGAAAAATTATATATATAGACGTAAACATTAACGCTTTTATCAATATCTGTTCAAAACTTACAGGTTGAGCGTCATGACTTGAAATCTTGACGGTGGGTGTTGTGCTTTGGCTCTCCGTGTCGGACTGAGATTTAATTTTGTGTACAGCCTCGACCCATCGGTTCTTGTATCTGTACACCTTAGAAGGTTTCCTGAAAAAATAAAAGACAATTAAAATAGAAAAATAAAGAATATGCTCAAATTAAAGTTGCAATTTTGACAATGTGAATTTCTCATAGGATAATGGTGTCTATACCAGTGCCTATACAATAGGACTATAATTTTATAGCAGATTGCTAAACGTAGATGGCGTACAGATTCTGTGATAAAAATATTACAAGATCCTGAGTGCAGTTCGAAACATTAAATAGAATTCATAATGTATAAGAAGATGAAAATTGAAGCCTACGAAAATGCACAACCTTTTCAGTTGCTGGATAATCAAGTGATAAGAAACGTGAATAATTTAAAATCTTTTGTCGTGTGTATTAGAGAGAGTAACTTTGCATGTCAATATTAATCGAAATCCAATTGTTAAAAAATATTATACCTTGAAAAAATTTAAAAAATTCATTGAGAAAAATGGTAAATTCTATTGTTTTTCTAACCGTGTAAAGTTGTATAATAATTGAATAGGCTAGATTAAGTTGAAAGCTTATCTGGGCTTTACAGAGAGAACCCTTCTAAATCTATTTGTTTAGTGGTTAATTACAACAAGCAGTTTGACCATTAATAAACATGGTAAAATGCTCTACGTGTCGAAACTGTTTCTAATTAATTTGATTTTTACACGATTTAAAAATCTCACTGTAAAGGGGCAGTACGTACTTTATCGTTTAAGGTTAAAAAATATTCTATAAAGTTCAAATACATTAAAAGAGCTTGTTTTTCATTTAACTATGATTATAATTTTGATGGTATAATTTTCCAGTTAATTACAGGTTTATTAACACATTAAAAAATTAGATTTTGTGAGGGAGGAGCTCGATTAGCTTAATTTTGTCTTTATTATTTTTCAGCCTGTTTTGTTATTCTTTAGACTTACACTCAATGCAGATAATTATTGTGACGAAATTGCATCAATCGATTTTCACAGAAATTCCCGATTCTCCCGTGAAAGTATTTTAAATTGGCTAGCAGTAAATGCAATTAAACTAGGAACCTTTGTGTTCAGCGGAAGGCCGTGTTAAATTGCTTCCGATTCGATCGACTCAACATCCAAAACAGACGAGTAACATTTATCCCGGATATTTGTTCCATACAAAAAAGACAATATCTCGCAAGTGCTCCAGAGGACAATTAATGGGCAGGGGTTTTAAAGGAACTGGGTCGTCTTTGATTTATTCCTTCGGGATCATGGTGTTTCTGCCCCCTTCGGCCGTGGCGGCCCTTTCCCCTTAACAGCCGTGCTCCCAACCAAATTTAAATTCCAGCTTATTTTTCAAAAATAACGATCACCTCGAATATCTTATTCAACACAGGATCAAGCAATATCACAAATCGAATAGTACATTATCTGGCTATTTAATTTCGTTAATTTCTTAGCCAATCAATATTAGGAACTACATCTGTTGTATGTATTATCTAGTGGCAATAGATTATAACCTATTATATATCTCCGTCAACCATAAGTCGTCAAAAATAAGATAAAATTTTTATGATCAAACTGATTGTCTTTAGCCCTAATTATTCCAGCTGGTTTGTCTTTGAGGTGTGTTTTGGCTGGTTGTTTTCGAAACAAAACATAAAGTAATCTGAAGCGTTTAATATTTATTCTGGTAGGTTTTGAGATGCATTTTCACATTCCATGAAATAAATGTGAGGAATGAGTTTTCTTGCTGATCTATCAAATCTCGACTACTGATGCTAGCCAAAAGTTTGAATACTTTACACCTAGTACAAGAAAACTAACATTCATTATGCAGACCTCTAGAATAAATTTTAATTAGTCAAAATTTAAGAAATATATACTGTATATATTGCATTCCAGTGAAAACTTCTGAAAAAATGAAATAAACATGAGATTAAAATTGTACTGAAGTATAAAAAAAAAATAAATAAATAAAAAACAGAATCATTATAAAATTGGCAATAAATTTATTTCAATTCCATAGATTAAATTTGAACAAAAATATATTTTACGTCGGATAAGGTCAAGTAAGCATCGGCTCTCAATCAGAGAACTTTTTGGCTGAAATGCAGACAACACAAGGCCCTGAAGATGATCTCGATAAAGATCGAAACGTTGGCACGATAAAGAAAATGTTTTTCTGAAACCTACATCACACCAGACCGCATCTCACGATTTCTAAATAAATGTCAAGTAATCACGTTTTGAATATGAGTAATTTATTGTAACCAAGAAGAATTTTCCTTTAATTTTCCCATTTTTCACTCACCCAAGGCCTATTTTTTTAATATTTTTCACCCCCTTCTCGAATGTAATAAGATCAAAATTTGCCCTAATCTATCGTGAGTGAGACAATGATACCAACGCTTTGCAATCTGACGAAAATAGGCCTCTTTTGCAAACAGCTTCACGAAATAATGAGATACTTGATTGGATTTCGTCGCCCGGCGCAAAATTATCCCTCCCTTTCATACAACAATTGGCTCTTCACGCTATCGATCGTGGACGTTTTTTAATCGTATGAAAATTGTTCATTACAACATTATTGTATTTTTATAGAAAACTATAAAAAAAAATCAACTGTGACACAACTATCCGCGATAAGTAGATAAACACAACTATGGGTTGTTATTGTGCTGTCAAATAAACGCAGGGTGTTAGCACTGATTGTTCAAAAAGGTAAATTTATTATAAATATACTCCTGAACATGTTTACATTAAAAAAATTCTCGTTTATTTGGTTTATCATTTACGTTATTGTTTCTATTCTCTGTTTCAAAAACCATTTGTTTTGCGTACGGTTCTTAAACGTGCCTGTTGTATTGGAAGAAAGGCTTTAGTTTGCGATAAGAAAAGCTAAGGTACACCCTTTATTATTTCACCAGCCACAATCTCACGTATTCTCAAACATAACGTCAATTCAATTGCAGAACGATTCCGTCTTAAAACTTTTAAATTTTACGATTGGGTTGTAAAACGTAAATAGAAACCAAAGTGTAAAAAATTAAATGACTTAATTACAATAAAAGGCAAAAAACTTGGCCACTCTTAATATTTTTAACAATTTCTTAATTATTTCACGTGTTATGGTTTGGGCAGTCATTCCTATAGGAGGTCGCATAAACTTGTTCTTCATCGAGGGTTCCCTAACAGCTGCGCGGTCATTGAAAACGAGTTAGAAGTTGTTCCTTACATGCCACTTTGGCGACGGTTTTATGTTTATGCATAACAATGCACGACCCCTCACAGCTACGATCGTTGATGACTACTTGGAACGGGCTACATAGTTAGCATGGTTTAAACCTTACCGAACCGACTTAAAGCGGGGAACACACTTACCCGATGCTACTCGACGCCTTGTCACGTTTTGGTAAAGTGTGCACATCTGCGTACAGTCACACAGCTTGTGTCACAGTAATCACTATCACAATCGCAACGCCTCTTTTGTTTTTAATGCACTATTTTGAGCAAAACCTTGTAATATATCGTTAGTTAAATTTTGTGAGCCATCTAATAAATTGTTTCTTAAACTTAATTGTTTTAAATAAAGTTATTCCTAATCCATCATAATTAAATAATGTTTATAAAACTTATGAATTTTTGATCTCGTTTAATTTGGTTTACATTAAAATAACATGTTGTAATTAATATAACGACAAAATTACATATACTTAGTTTGAAATAAATTATAAAAAATATGAGTGGCCTGATCTGACGCTATCCGACGAAAATGGTGTAATTTTACGAGCAAAACCATGAAATAAACTGTTAGTTAAATTTTATGAGCAAAACCTTGTAATAAATTGTTAGTTAAATTCATTATATCAAAAATGATGTTCTGGTGTTTTGATTGATTTTCTGCCAAACCATTAAAATTAATTTTTTCTAATAAAAACTAATAAATTTTTGATTTCGTTTAATTTGGTTTACGTTAAAATGAGAATGTTTTAATTAATATAATCACAAAATTACATATTGATAGTTTGAAATAAACTACAAAACATATGAGTGTCCTGTTGTTATAAATTGTTACTTACATTTTATTGGCAAAACCATGTAATAAATTGTTAGTTATATTCATTATATAAAAAAATGGCATTCCCGTGTTTTGACCAATTTTCTACCAAACCATTAAAATTAATTGTTCAAAAAAATAAAAACTAATGAATTTTTGATCTCGGTTAATTTGATTATATTAAAATAAGTATGTTATAATTAATGTAACGACCGTCATACGTTTGAATAAAAATATGAGTGTCCGGTCCTTTTGATTTCGACTGTACTCGATGCTACTCGACGAGAATCTGGACAGTGGGGATCGTAAATCGTAGAGTAGGGTAGCGTTGCGTGGCATCGGGCAGATGTGCACTGGGGTAATACTTATATGGAAAATTGGACTTTGGATTTGCGAGGGGTAGCGTTGCATCGGGTAAGTGCGTTCCCTGCTTTAAACCTATCGAACACTTTTGGGACGAGTTGTCAAAGAGGGCAATAAGTCATCCATGATGCCAGAGAATTTGCAGGAATTAAGAATGACCCAGTTGGAGGAGTATGAAATTATTCCACAGCACTACATTCAAAAACTCATAAAATCTATGCCACCTCGAATGCAAGCGGAGTTCAACGCAAGAGGAGGACCTGTATTGAATTGAATATTTTATTAGTTTTAATTTTAAATTAAATTAATTTTAATTTTATAATATTTATTACTTTGATTGAATATAAATAATATTTTTTTCCATTGTATAAATTCACTTTTCTCCACATCGTACACGTATTTGTTAAATTTAAACAATGTTTGTAAATCTCAGGCCCTGAAGATGATCTCAATAAAGATCGAAACGTTGGCACGATAAAGAAAATGTTTTTCTAAAACCTACATCACACCAGACCGCATCTCACGATTTCCGATTAATCATCGGACTAACGGTCATCACCATACAAGTTAAATTGTTTTCTCAGTTTAACTTGTTATTTATTTTTTATTATTTAGATATATCTTATATATACTTTTCTAAATAT